TCCCATCAGCATAGTCAATCCACCACCCTAAAAAGCAGTAGGTATGTCGACAGGAAAAGCTCTCCCATTAACACAGGCTGTCTACAAGGGGGCAGGAGGTGGGGTATTGGGTTGGTTCTGGATTGTTCTATGTTGTTCTGGATTGTGAATTTTTCACATCCACAAATGACGTAGTTATACCAAGGTAAGTCTGTAGTGTAGCCCTGGCCTTAAAGCAGCAGCTACCCAGGTACTGTGACTAGCATCAAGATGCAAGGTGCTGTTGTAATTAAGCCCAATTAAGAGCAGTTGACCCAGACATTGCTGAATAACATAGATGGAAAAAATTGGTTAAGCAATAGCCAGTTCAGACAGAACACAAGGCAACATTAAAACAATGAAACACCTATATTTTGCACCAAGTAGGTAAAGACCTTTTACAGTTCATGTTAGGTTTCCCCATTCCACATGGGAAGTCCCTGAGTGCTATTCTGGAACCAGATGTGGAAGAAAAACACCTTCCAGGGGCTGAGATTTTGTCTCATTTCTCCAGAGGAAAAATGGACACAGATGCTTCCCAAAGTCTTCAAGGTTGTATGAAGGAGAAACTAAATACCGGATGCAACAAGCACAGCCATGGCCATGAGTCACTACAGAAGGGAGGAACATTAAGTGCAGGTAGACCCACAACATTTAAAAAGACAGCCTCTTATTAATTAATATTTGTCCTCTCCAGCCTCTAACAAAGAGCTCCAAATTCTGCTGGAGTCTCCAGCTCTACCTTGTGTAATTGCAAGTGAAGTCTTCAAAGGTTGACCTTGGGACAGGAATGAAGGTGTAAAGCACAAATCACCAATAAAGGAAGATTTAATACACAGTTCCACTAAACAGGGGGAAAAAAATCCCAGGGCAGCAAGATGATTGAAGGCAGCTACTGTCCCTTGCTAAATACCCTCTGCAGAAAAACACCACATATAACAAGAGGATGGAGTCAACCCAGGGATAGGACCTAAATCCAGATGCTGAACAGCAGAGGAAACAGATTTGGCAGCTTGTAAATCTTTATTTTTAGTTTTTTAAAAGTTAAAAAGCATAATTAGAAACTGTCAATACAGAAATAATCCTAGCAAACCAGTTAGACATTCCATCACTTAACATTAGGAAACTTCACATCAGCACCACTGGAGAGGCAGTCTCCACTCCCCACCCTCTTACAGTTTAATACTCAGTGGCAGCAGCAGGCAGACAGCTGCTCCTCTACAGCCAGTAGAGTCAGAATTAAAAAACAAAACAAAAACACACACACAAAAACACACAACCCTTCAAGCCAGGAAGTTGGGACTGCTGGATTGGCAAAGCTCGCACCCGAGTCCAGGATTTGGTGGCACAATGACTAACCTTCCCACATCAAAACACTCTAGATCAGGTGCACCGTTTCCTCAATTTACTACATCAGTTCCAACAACTTCAGAGTTTTCCTTTACTTTTGCCTATTCCCTTCACCCTTATTGAGATCTGCAAACTCTTTAGCACACAACCTCATCAACATAATTCCGGTTGAGGCTACAGAGCAGTGACGGGTGGCACACGCCAGCTCCATTTCAATAGGAAGGTTGACAGAGCTCCTTGCTGGTACATATGCTATATTCCACACTGGAAGCATATAGGGTAGATGCCTGGTATAATTTCTCCTGCCACTTCCAAAAGCAACCAATGCATGTCTTGTCACTCATGCAGTGCTCGCTCTAGCAGTATCACCCCACTATCCCCCCCAGCTCATTTTTACTCTTGGGTTACCAATGAAAGCTGTGGACAGATATGTGCAGAAGAGAGATGGAGGATGGGAAAAGGCAGCTGCTATACACTTCCAACACCTGCACTGGTTAAAAACCAGTTACACATTCATGGTTTGCATGAAGGGGAAAAAAAAAAAACACTTCAAGTCAGACTGATCTGTGATGTGATTGTATGATCAGGGCTTTTAACACAAACCATATGAAGCTAAAAAGATGGGCAAAAATAAATGAGTCTGATTTCGGCTAGGATGATTTCTAGCTCATGAATGTCAGTGGGACATGCTCTACCAAACCTATGGCTAGTGATTCTTGAGGACCACATGCTGATATCCAAGTAAGAGTGGGCCAGCAGCCACAGCCCCCACCCCTTTCCAGTCAGTATTTCAGGAGAATTTCTTTTTTGCTTAGATAATCAGTTGATGAACATGTGTTACTCAGCAGCCCAAACATATCTATTTCAGGGATTGATGAACTGAGTCCTTATTTTCCCACAAGTGAAGGCCAGGGGAATGCTGTTTGGTAACATACTCTGGTCTCATTAGGCTGAACAAAGACAACGCTACCCACAACCATCACCACATAATGTGAGCAATAACTTTCCATTTCTTTACATTAGAGAGAGCTGTCCTCCACTGTGACAGGAGACTCCTGGGAATGATGCTGCAGCAACTGTTGGATCCAAAAGCCAACCCAAAGAGCTGGATTCACAGCCATATGTTTCATCTCTCTGGAAAGCATTGCTTTGCCACCAGCATTCACATTTGAGTTCAGATCTACTTGATAAGGCAACATGAGGAGCTTTTTTTTGGCAGATTCACACTATCTTGTTACGCTCAAGAAGAGTCTGGACCCTTGCCTGGAACAACCAGCAAACCCAGAAGCTGATGTCACAGGAGTTCAGTTTCATTTTTTTTTTAAATAACCAAAAAGTTTAAATCCAAATAAATCCAATTTTTGCAGGTTTAGTTTTAAATCTCTCAATACAAACTAAAGAGCACATGTACAGCTGGGCTGCACCACAAAGCAAAGGTGAAACCCAAGGTCCTGACCACAAACCTGGAGCATGACAAAGTGAAACCCAGCACCAGCCGCTAGCCCAGGGGTTGGTGAAGTGAAACCCCAGGCTCCAGCAGCAACCCTGGGACCTAGAAAAATTAAGCCAAAGCCCCAGTAACAGCCTGGAACTCAAAGTGAAACCAAAGGACCCAGGGGCACCAGCCCGGAGCCCAAACCCTCAGCAACAATTGATGCTAGCCTGGAGCCTACTAGAGTTAAGAACTTCGTATTCTATCTTTAAAAAGGTAACTGCAGTTCATGATTGATTGACATTAAGAAGTCATAAGCCAAAGTGACAAGAGGGAGGAGCGGCTGGGGAAAGCAATATACATTATATACAAACTCTTGGATTAATCAGTCCACTTGGTAGACAAGAAAGGACATGGCCTACAAGGCGCACTGGAGTGAGCAGGGGAGAAGAAAGGGAGCAAGTGTCCATCCGATACTTTCTTGGCACTAACATGGTAAGGTGCCAGTGCCTCTTGATAGAAAACATGGAGAAAAATCTTTAAATAATGGCACAAAACTGAGAGTCCTCCCAAAGCCTGCCCCAGTGAAGTAGCCCAAGTCTAGAAGAGGCTGATCTGTAAGAGCAGAGTCTCTGCATTAGGTAAAGGGTATTAGCAGCACCGCTTCTTCCGTTTACTGTTCTTAGTTAGCTTCACCAAGTCATTCTGTTGCTGCTGTTGCTGCTTTGCTAAGTTTTCTTTCTTTGCTCGCAGAACCAGCTCTGTAATGCAATTAAACATCTGCAAGAAAAACACAAGCATGTTCAGAGCACCTGGGAGTGCAGGATGGCTGCTGAGGAGGTACCCTTCAGAGAAGAGGAAACCTCAAAAGCAGGCCCCATGATGCTACTAAACCAGCAAGTCAGATTTCAGCATATTCTCTCACAGCCCCACCAAAGCATCATCCAGCCCCACATTTCCCTTCCCCACTAAAGCCAGAGAGTGAAGGTCTAGCCTAATAGCACCATGAACAGCAAGTTAGGGTTTGTCCACAGCTCCACCAAGGCCAATGACTCGGGATCAAGCATTCCCTTCCAATGAGGCTGGCACTCCAGCAAGACATAGGCTGATGCATTTGTATTCTTTTCGCCATCCAGCTTTAACCTTTATTATGCTTAAGAAGTCATCTTTCCCCACTTTTCCCCTCACTGTAACTGCTTGTCTGTAGTTTGCATACACCGAGGGATATTACTCTTCCTACCCTGGCAGAATAAATGCTAATAGCAATGAAAACCCCTCCTACTTTTGTTGGGATGTGGCCTCATAACAGTAAAATTTACATCACCCTTTAACAGATGCAATATTTTGCCTTTCCTAACCTGTTACTTCTGAAAAGTAGCAATAGCCCCATGCCCCTCAGGGTATTACCTCTTCCACGTTAATGTTTTCTTTGGCACTGGTCTCAAACAGTTGGATTCCCATCTGCCCAGCAAATTTATAGGCATCTTCTGTCTCCACCACTTTCCTCTCTGGGTCATCATTCTTATTTCCCACTAAAAAGGAAAAAAGGTCAGTGGTAAAACTCCTATGCTGCCAAAGCAAAGGTTCTCCAGAACAAGCAGCAGCAGAGCAGGATCTTACCCAGTATCCGGCAGACATCATCACAGTTTTGGTTAATTTCATGTAACCACCGCTTTACATTCACAAAGGATTCTGCACTGGTGACATCATAGACAACAATGACCCCATGCGTCCCTCTGTAATACCTAGGGGGTGGGAAAGGGACACAGATGCTAGTTCAAACTTAAGGATAAGGCCAAGCTCCTGAACACCTTCCTTTGGAAGGGGTCTCTAAATCATTTAGATATAAATCCCCAACCCTGAACAAACAAGTCCCCATCCCCCTTGCCCCACTGGGAGTCATTTAACATTCAACTGTCAGCCCATTCTCTGCCTCTAAACTTAGCAGAGAACTGTGCATGTTGGTCCATATGAACAAGTTTCAGAGACCAGCCTATACTGATAAACGGGCTCCTACAGTTCCTGTTCAGGATGCCTGGGACCCAAACAAAGATAAGCATTATCTTCCAGCTGCATGAGTAGACAGTGGTAGTCCATCCTCCATTGCCTTCCTATTTCATGTGAATCTTAGTTCCTGCACAAATTAAAGACTGACCACTGGTGGCAGTTAGGAAAAAACGGTTACTTACCTCTCATAACCGTTGCTCATATACATTCCATGTAGGTGTGTGTGATATGCGCACACAGGTTGCCAGAAGATTTTTTTCCCCCCCTTAGTAGTACCCGTTGGGCCAGCAGGGAAGCCCCTAGGCCAACCCCTGCCAGTTTACCCAGGAAACAGAGACCTACTTAATCTAGGGATAACATACTTTCCTTCTAGCACTCTTCTGTATCCCTCAGGCCTGACCCTGTCACACCATGTAACCACTGAGATTTTCAGTAGTTGCACACAGTTACCCTATTACTCAATTTTTAGCATCCCTAGTCCTTATTTTAAAGGGACTGGATATAAACTACCAAATTGTTTTTTTTTAAACTGTTCTATTCTTGCAAATGTACTTGAGCAGACCAAGCATGAAAATATGCAGCAAATGCAACTCTAAATCGTATTTGTGACCTGCAACATCCCCAAAGGATTTGTGATATGCACATATGGGATTAGGTGAAAACTAAAATTGTGTTTAGAGGAAAGTCAACCCAGCTCTCTAAATCCAAAGTTAAAAGGCTAGTGCACTAGTCACTGCTCCACCTAGACACCAACAACAACTTCAAGACCCCTCATTTTTTATATGTACACAGTCTTGCTATTTTTGACATTTTGCTATTTACTATTGGATTTTTCAGTCTATTTTACTTTTCCTGGCTTTATAAAAAATAATTCTTCTGCTCAGCTTCCTTGACATTCCTTAACAGCTTGTGTGTCACTGTCATGCCGTGACCCCGGGGTGGGGGAGCAGCCCCTTTAATTAACTTTGTTTGTGTTTATGTTATGTCCCCTCTTCCCCAAGGGTCACAGGCACGGCCCTATGGTCCTCAACGCTCTCAGTCAGGTCCCACTAGGAGCTGCCCGATAGGCCAACACCCCTGTCTGGGGGGCTTTACCCTGGCATTAACATGACCGGCCCACAAATTAGCCTGTCTCTATAAACCGCGATGGACCTTCCTCCTGCTGGCAATGCTGGAGTAGATCGAGGTCTCTCTATCCAGTAGAGGGAGGGGGGGGGGTGACCCGGGCCCACCCTCACTCACGGGTCCCGGCCCAGGGCCCTAAGGGCAGGGTCATTCCTGTCCCTGTCCGGCTGGCAGGGGGCTCCTCCTGAAACTCGCCAGCATGCCTGATGTCTCGGACGTTGGGGCCATGGGTCCGAGGAGTCTCTCCTCCCGACCGCCTGTGGAACCGCACATCCTCCTGCGGGGCTTGGCACCTCCTCCCACTGCCGGAGTTCCTTTCCTCCACGGCATATCCAGATCCCCTTCCTTCCCACTGACGCGGGGTTTAAATGTCCCGTCGACCTGGCGTCCCAGACTCTCGGACGTTGGGGCCATGGGTCCGAGGAGTCTCTCCTCCCGACCGCCTGTGGAACCGCACATCCTCCTGCGGGGCTTGGCACCTCCTCCCACTGCCGGAGTTCCTTTCCTCCACGGCATATCCAGATCCCCTTCCTTCCCACTGACGCGGGGTTTAAATGTCCCGTCGACCTGGCGTCCCAGACGCTGAACGCTGGGCAGATGTGACTCCACGCTCTGCCCCTCCCCCCAGCGCCAGGCATTGCACAGCCGCTGTTCCAAGCCCTGCCCCCCCCCACTTCGCTGAGCGGGGATGCGCCAGCGCTCAGCTGTTTTGCGGCTGGAGGGCAGGGGAGGGAAGAGGAGGCCGGGCAGCCGCCT